ATTTTTCTGGGGCAAAGAGCGAGGGGTGAAACAGAAGGGCAAAAAATATTTCATACATATACAATTAATACATAAACCTTACATAGTACAAAAAAGATCCTATCCCCATCCCACATCCCAGATATTTAATAAAGGAATTGATTTTTTATTTGAAAACTTTGAGTCCAATGTCTCTTGAGAAAGTTCATGAAAATAGATGTGTCCTATAGTCCAAGGCAGGCAACAGTCCTTTGGTCTGGTAGAAGTTAGCAGAAGTCCTTTGGTCTGGTAGAAGTTAGCAGATGGACTCCCAGTCGATCTGCTATGAATCCACAGCTTGGTCCTTGGGAAACTACAATTCTTCCCCAAGGACTGGGGCTCCCTACCCTGGCTCATCCCCGAGGTCCCATTGGGGGAAACCGCATCAAGTCCCCGGGTCTGGGGCTAGGCAGGGCGAGCTGCAGCATGGAGCGATCGAGTGGTTTGTATGGAGCCAGCGAGTTTGACTATCAGCTGTTTTCTGTAAAATTATATTCTCAAAAATAGAGACGTTATTTCCCAGGCATAGGGGTCCAAAATGAGAAAAGCAAGATAGCAGTTTAATTTAGAATTAATCACAGAAAAATATGGTATTAAAATGGAGCCGATCCGCCATTTTGTGATTTTTGCGGATACGGGGGTCCGAAAGGTGGATTCCCGTATCCACGGTTTCAATTGACGCAGATCCGGCATCCCTGGGACGCTGGGAAGGCATCTCAGGCAGGCTTGCAGTTCCTCGGAGCCTAGAAAAAGGTTTATTTCATGCATTAGATAGTTCAGGCAAGTGAAAGACACAAAGTAACAAGCAGGAAAGTTGCAAATCTCAAGTACTTTTATTAGGGATTAGATACAAAGTCAGGGCTTGGGGAAGGTAATGGAGGCTGAATGCAGTCCTAGTTTGAGCTGTTTGTTGGGGCACATTTCATCAGTTTATCCCAATGGTGGCTTCCAGGAACTGCGGAACTCTCTGCTGCAGTTCAACCCAACTTGGGGGCAGGGGCCCTCGATGTCACTAACACTCTAAGATTCTATATGGTTTTCCCATTATTTAGTCAGCATTTCCTTTTTACTATGTGACTGATAGATCAGATTGGATGGCCTCTGGGGGCCTTCCCAACTCCCGTGGAATACAGACTCTCTGAGAGTCCAGTGGAGTTTCCTTTCTTCATACAGATGGCCGGTGGCCATCTGTATGGAGAGATGAAATGCTGCTTTCTAGCTTGACAGAAGGTTAGACTTTTAGGATCCCTTCCAACTCTATGGTTCTATTATTCTACTCCCCCCCCCCCCCCCCCAGCATGCACGCGCACACACACACCAGAAGCATCTGGAGCTTTGCTGGAAGAAAGCCATATGGCAGGTGCCTCTCAGCCAATGAATAGCCACACTTGATGCAGCGGCTGCTTAGTCTTTGCCTGGAAGCAGTGGGTGAACTCTCTGCCCATGCTCAGGGGCCTATAGCGCTCAAAGAATGTGCAGGCAAAGCCCTGCCAGGATGGACCCCCCCCCCCACTCCCTGGTCATAAAACAGTGGCACAGAGGGTGTAGCCTGGCACAGAATGGTAGAGGACTCTGGCCTTTGCCAACACAGCAAGGGATACCTGGCTCCTCTCTGGCGATTGCTCAATCTGCTCAACAATTGTGAACTTTGGCTCGGGGCGGGGCACATAGCTTTGTGTTTGCAGGCTTTTTTCTGCAGGAAGGGGCATTGCACGCCCAGACTCTCCTGCCAGCAAAGAGGAAGGGTGTTTATTTGACTAGTACAAGATCAACATGCCTTCAGGGAAGGAAAGGAACCCTGTGCACAACCCTGAGCCCAGCTCTTCCATGGACAGGCCCTGCTCTTTCAGAGTGGACCCCCCCCCCGTGGCCCACTTGCTGCCCCTCCCCAGAACAAAGACCCACCGTCCTAGGTGCCTATGGGTTTGTTGCTAGGGCTAGGAGCCATGGCCCACAATGTCATCGAGGGCAGCGGAGGCCCCTGCCTTCAAGTTGGTTTGAACCGCAGTGGAGAATTCTGCAGTTCCTAGAAGTCACAATTGGGACAAACTGATGAAATGTGCCCCAACTGACAGCTCAAACTAGGACTGCACTCAGCCTCTATGCCTTTCTATCACTTTCCCCCTGGCCCTAACATTGTAGCTACTCCCTAATAAAGGTACTTGAAAAGGTACTTGAAAATTGCAACTTTTAACCTTTCCGCTTTCCGTGTCTTTCCTTGCCTGAACCAGCAAATTGCATGAAATAAACCCTTTTCCAGGCTCCAGGGAACCGAGGGCCTGCCCGGAATGGCTTCCTGGTGTTCCGGGGACGCCAAATCTGCATTCTATGAAACCGCGGATACGGGATTTTTCCTTTCAGATCTTGGTATCCACGAAATCATAGAATGGCGGATTGGCTCCATTTTAATGCCATATTTTTCTGGACTAAATTCTAAGCCTATCTGCTATCTCGCTTTTCTCACTATGGATCCCTACGCCCAGAAAATAATCTTTAAAGTTTTGAGAGTATTTTTTGACCAGGAACAGCTGATTGTCAAACATGCCGGTTCCATTTCTTCCGTGCCACTCCGCTCAGCTTCTCCTCGCCCCTGCCTAGCTCCGGACCCGGGGATTTGATGCGGTTCCCCATGGGACTTCGGAGAGGAGCCTGACCAGGGGGCCCCAGCCCTTGGGAAGGGAATATAGTTTCCCAAGGACCGAGGCATGGATTCATCAACTCAGCCAGAGCCCCATCTGCTTACTTTTGCAAAGCCAAGAACTTTTCTGCTGCCTGACTTGGACTTCAGGAAACATTATTCCTCATGGATTTTCTACCAGAACGTTGGACTCAAAGTCTTCACATAAAAATCAATACTTTTATTAAATACTTGGGACGTGGGATAGGGATGGGATCTTTGTTGCCATGAAATGGTTATGCTTTAAATGTATGTATATCTTCCTATGAAATATTATTTCCCCTTCTATTTCACCCTTGCCCCAGAAAAGCGGCCAAGAAACACTCAGTGCCTGAGGGGGCTGTTGTCCCCCTCGAAACCAACCTTATCACAGACATTTGCATGGACAATAGCAACTGGAAATTCTTTTGTTTATTTTCTGAGTTGGTCTGGTAAACAGGGAATTTTGCTGGCCACATTTTAATTTAATCAAGAAAGGGGTGAGACTGGCCCCAGGGGTCTTCTTGCCCGGTTCTGTTTGTTTCATCCACAAACTCATCAAAAACACACCTTATCAGGTCAGGGACAGGAAAACTCTTCTTAATTTAATCAACCTTTTCCGGCCAAACAATGCCTCAATGCCCCAGCTGGCTGATGATGTCATAATCCCATCGCCTTCCATTGTCCGCAATCGTCCCGCCTCCTCTTCCCTAATTTGTCAATCCCCAGAAGCGAGAAAAGTGCGCTGATTGGCTCTCCAGAAGCGGGGAAGCCTCCTGATTGGCTCGGGCTGAGGGTGGGCCGCCAAGCCTCCTCCCCGCTGTTCAGGCCACCAGCCAATCAGCAAGAAGCCGGGCGGGGAAGGGCGGGCGGGAAATTTGAAATCCCTGTATGTGTTTTGTCTATAAAATGCTTGCAAAACTCTGTAACGGCATGCTTGTGGGTGAGCTATTGCAATTGCATCCGACTCAGCTGAAACGCACAATAAACCTCGGTGCCGCTTCTTCGCCTTGGCAAGAGTCTCATTCTAATTATTAATTTTAATAAAATTGCTGAAATCAGGCTTCTCGGACAGCTCGCCAAGGTCAGGGACACTCTTTGGTGCGGTCCTAGGGGTCTCTCTTACTGGGGAGACCCTCCAAAAGTCCGTATTGACTTCAACAAGAGGAGGGCATGAGGGCACAGAGGGGAAGCATCTCCATGGCCTTCTCAGGCAGCAGAGGCAGGAGGGTGGGATGCTTCCCTGAGGCAGACTGTCTGTCGGCTTTGAAATATATGCAGCATGAAAAAGTGCTGCCTGACAAATCAATGGAAAGGGTTTCTGATGAATCACCAGGAAGCCCCAGGACTCTTCCTCACCCAAATCATTGCCAATTACTTCCCCAAAAGATTCACCATGAGAGGCAACTCAACTACTGGGTGAACCAGCAGTCTCCTGCATTCACATTTTGAAATGGTTTGAAGTCTGCATGTTGTTTTTTGTAACCTAACCCTCTTCACATTCCTAAGTGTACGATCCTCATTTAGGATTTGCATGAGGGGCTCAGCAAGCATTCGCCATTGAAGACGTGCTTGTAGGACATGTAGGAATTCCCTTTGAACTCCAGAAAAGTATAAAAGGAAGGGACATCTCTTTGTCGCTTGCTTGCAGAGCAAGTGAATTGATTTGGTCTCTACTTACTCTTTGCATGGCGTGACCTTTTCTTCTGCGTTTTTGGGCAATGTAATTCTGTATGCCTTTTGGGCCTCGTGTTTCTTTTTACTATCTTTGGATTGTATTTTTGATAGCACCGGGACTGTGGTGGAGCTGGCTGAGTGTCAGCTGCATTAAGATCACTTCTGACCAAAAGGTCATGAGTTCGAAGCCAGCCCGGGTCGGAGTGAGCATCTGACCAATTGTGTAGCTTGTTGTCGACCTTTGCAACCCGAAAGACAGTTGCATCTGTCAAGTAGGAAAATTAGGTACCACCTATGTGTGGGGAGGCTAATTTAACTAATTTATGAGGCCATAAAAAAGACTCCAGCAAAGCACTCCAGCAAAAGCATGCGGGGAATGCGGAAGTACTTCATCAGTGTCGCAGATGGACGATGAAAGCAACAGCTCCCCCGGCGGCCAGAAAAGTTAAATAGCCTCTGACTGTCTGTCTATATCTGTTGTGTGTCTTTGGCATTGAAAGTTTGCCATATATGTGTACATTGTAATCCGCCCTGAGTCCCCTGCGGGGTGAGAAGAAGGGCGGAATAGAAATACTGTAAATCAATCACTCAATCAATCAATAAATAGACCTGCAACTAAGCCGTACCATGTGCCAATCTTCATTCCAGATTTGTGAGTAAACTGCTTTTATTACATCAATCAGTTTCTGGCATTCTGAATGTTTTATTTCCTATTGCATTCTTATGGGGTGCTTGCGATCAAATTGTTTTAAGTGAGCGCTTTTGCCTCTGCCTGTATTTTTTATCTTGTTCCTGCTCAAGCTTCCCGCTGTATGTGCATTCAGTTTTTAAACCTCTGCTTTTATGTAATGCTTTAAGGAAGGTGGGCTCTCGCCAAACAGCCTAGCTCATTGCCTCAGTTTAGCGACTGAGCCCTTTCTGTGCCCACAACCATTTGTGTAATAATATCAGTATAAACTGCTCTGCTCTTGAAGGTGCCCCCTCCTCCTCCTCCTCCTCCTCCTCCTCCTCCTCCTCCTCCTCCTCCTCCTCCTCCTCCTCCCCCCTAGAGACGCAGCGCTCTCCTCTGTGGCCACCCCTCCCTTGCCTACAGCTCTTGGTGTGTTTTCTGCTCTTTCTCCTCCGCTGCTGTTTTCTCCCTCATCTGCTCCAGCAGAGTCTTCAGCCAGAAGTCGACTTTCCTCTGCTTCAGCTTCTCGGCTTCTCTTTGCTCCAAGCCCAGTTCCAGGAAGCCCTCTTTCTGGTCGTACTGGGGCCACTCCACCAGCCCTTTGCCGTTTGGGTTCCTGGAAGCACCAGAGGCAGGCAGAAGTGAGACCTTGGGCAACTTTGTTAATCACAACATCACAGCCGCATTGAGCCAAGGGAGCCTCACCCGCTGCGGGCAAAGTTCGCCCAGTATCTCATCATGGTCTTGCTGAGCCGCTTCTCCTCCTCCGTGTATCCCCCTGCAAAGGCCAGAAGGAAGAGGCCCTGAGCCACTCCATGCACACTTAACCTGGGCCCCCAAAGGGAGGGCTCAAGGGGGACCCACAGATTTGGGGAGGAAAACAGGAGAGGAGCTTGGCCCTGATCAGGACCAGTGGGGCGCAGGGTCAGCCTGGCCTGCCTTGGCACTGGCCGCTCTGGAGCAGGGCAGGAGGGGCCCCTTGGGCTCTGCTAGGGACCCAGCATGCAGCCCCAGTCTTTGGGGGCCTCTTACTTTCTGGGACCCTTGGCCATCAAGGGGCTGCTGGGAGCCCCTGCGCCCAATTACTTGGTGAACAGCTCCAGGACCTGTGGCATAGACTGTGCTTGCTGGGGTCTTGCCAACCCTTGAATGTTCCCTCGTAAAATGGAGCAGCGATTCAGTTTAGCTGCCTCCTTTCAAGCCGAAAATGGAAAAGAGACCCCCTAAACTTTCCTGCCCCTGTTCTCATCCTAAAGGCGCTCATTCCCTGCGACTCACCAAATGGGGAGTCGTTGCTGCTTAAGAAAGGTGCTCCCAAAACAAAGGAGACTTCGTCTCCGTGGTCGGCCTTTACAAAATCCGGCTTTGTGTCTCTGAAGATCGAAGGGCGATGCTGGAATTCGTAGAAGTAGACGGGGACACCAGAATCTGTTTTAAGAAAACAAAACAGATAGGGAGGAAGTCACCGCCTGTAGTTATGCAGAAACCAAATGAACAAGCAGGAAGAAGCTTACTTTGACTCAATCCTTGGATGAGATCCCTGGGGTCCCATGCCAGGTAGGGATGTCCCAAGGCCCAAAGCACCTTCCCTGCTCCTAGGTCATGGAAAGGCCTCCTTGGGGTCCAAGGAGATCCTTGGCGTCCTTGGGAGCCACCTTTGTGGGGCATTTAGGGAGTTCAGGCCCCTATTTCTCCTCAGCCCTTGCCCTCCCCCACTGCGGTCTGATAGATTTCCTCCCAAACATCAAATGCCACAGCAGTACAATCTGCTTTGTGTGCAAATTCACCTCTATGAGCTCTAGCTGCCTGAAGAGCAGGAAGGACAAAGATGGCGTCTCCCATGAACTCTTGAAACTGCCCCCGTAGTTCCCGGGGGTCTTCCGTCTCCCCCAAATACTCCTCCATGGCTCTCTGCATGGCCTCCACTGGGAGCCTCTGTGGGAAGAGAGAGAAGGGGAGGCCTCACCAGCCACCCCACAGCCCAGTCCCTTGCCCCCGTCACCTTCGCCCTCCTGTTGCTGGCCACAGCTGTGGTGCAGAAGCCGTCCTCATGGGCCGGGCCATTAAAATCTGGCTCAGGAGCCCAATTGGCAGCCAGCTCAAGGGAAGGGGTCACTGTGCCCTACCATTCTTTGGGAGAGGAATGGGACTGAGTTGGTACGGAGCTGTGGAGGGGAAAGGGCTTTCCCAAGGATCAGTCCGCGTGGGGAAGAGCAATGGCACACTGGAGAAGGGGATTGGGGAGGCGCCTTCTACCTTCACCCGCAGAAGAGACATAGCGGAGGGGCCTGGGAGTGGGGCAGGAAAGGCTCCCTGCCCTGGAAGAGCCCTGGGAGGAAGACACTGGTCTGTTGAGCCCTGAAACCTGGGCTGCTCTGCCTTCCTTTCACGAAGCCCGACGGAGGGGGAACGTTTTCAAGGCTGTCAAGAGATGCCCATTGCTTCTCATAATGGCAAAACGAAGGGATATCCCTACCATTGTAACCTTAGTTGCAAAAGCCTCTCCCGTGGATAAAGAACACAGCATTTTATCACTCTGGAGAGCTTTATGGGATGTTTTGGGGGATCCAGTAATGCAACGTTCCAGAAATGGTTTCTGAAGCATTTGCCACTAGGACCGGGCCCCCTTTCCACCCTCAAACTGGAATGTCTCCCTTTTTGCATTCCAGCCTGGGAGGCTGCTTTGCCCTCTGGCCCAGGGTTCCCTTTATACATTGGCTGCAGGAGGGAGGAGAGGCCTTTGTCCTCCTTCTTCTTCCAGGCTCTTTGTGGCCTCCAGGAAGGACTGCCGGATGTCACAGGCTGGGTGCCCCAAAGAGCTCCCAAGGGCCTCCCTGGCACCAGGTGTCGGTGCATGGGCCCCACTGCCTTGGCTGCAGACAAGAGTGGAGGCCAGAGCCCTCCTCTCAGGGCGAGGTACCACCCCACACTCCCTTCCTTATCCCACTCCAGGACTGATACGCCTAGGACAGTGGTTCTCAACCTGTGGGTCCCCAGATGTTTTGGCCTTCAACTCCCAACAATCCTAACAGCTGTAAAACTGGCTGGAATTTCTGAGAGTTGTAGGCCAAAACCCTCAGGTTGAGAACCACTGGTCTAGGAGAAGGCTCCAAGCGCTCTCTTACCAGGAAAGATGCCGATTGCTGGAAGGCAGCCTCCACCGCTTCCCGGTCCATGCTCTCCGTGATGGAAGGGAAGAGAGGTGTCTGACAGGGGAAATGCAATATTCCGTTGGCAATTGAAATCCTCCACTCAAAGCCTTTGGGACACAGTTCATAAGCAGGGCCCCAAAGGGCTCCTGTTGGTCAGCTGGGCTTCTGGCAGAGTGAATTTGCACGCCACACTTCCTGCATGCCTGACACTGGCTTCAAGGTCAGCTTTTCTTAAGCATCTACTGAGTGATTGATTCACAATCTTTTCCAGAACCTTCTGAGTTTTGGCATCAATCTGAGGGGCCAGCGGTTGCAGACTACATTTGCCTGCCTCCAGAGGTGGCCCTAGGTAATTTTCAAAGGTAAGCAAACAGTATTTTGCCCCCCCCCCCGCCCGCAAACCAATCACTGATAGATTTATATATACACACATACATGGACAAATTTTGACCCTCTGGGTATTTTGGACTTCCTACTGGCTGTTTGGAATTGTGGAAGTCCAAAACACATGGAGGGCCCAAGTTGGCCCATGCCATCCATCCTCCTGAGGCTAAGGCGAGGCGAAGGAGGCGTTGGGAAAGGAGGGGGCCGGTTAGGCCCCCGGAGGAGGAGGAGGAGGCGGCGACATGGCGGCTCCCCTCTTTGCGCTGCTGCTGCTGCTGCTGCTGCTTCTCAGTTGGGAGCAAGGCCACGGGGCGAAGTTCGGCTAACCACCAGGCCTGGAGCATGTACGGAGGCGCCTCAAGAGCGCCCCTGGGCAACATCAACTCTACTGCAAATGCTTACTTTGCTTAATGGGTTGAGCCACCCCTGCCTGCCTCCAATCTGCTGGGGCCACTTTGACCACCATGACCACCATGAACTCCTCTAGATACACAATAAAAGTGAAAACATGCTTATGTGACCCTGTGTATTTAGTTATGTATCTATGTTTGAGTATGATTTCCAATATGGCACCCCCTTCCAGAAGACCTTGTGACTCACAGTGATGACGGATCTGGACCAAACTTGGCACACAAACCCAACATAACCAACTTTGAATACTGGCACAGTTTATAGGGAATTGACTCACAATGTTAGGAGTTATAGTTCTTGCCTTCCTCTGAGACTGAGAAAGTGTGACTTGCCCCGGGGGCCCCAGTGGGTTTCCATTGCCAAGTGAAGGACCCAAACCCCTGGCCCAACACATAAGGATAAGGTAAAAACTGTGGATGTCCTGCTCACCTGAGGGAGAATCCACCCATATTCGTGGTTATTGATGCCGATTAGATACGGTACATTGCTGAACTCTTTCACAGCTAGTAGCTCCTCGGGCGTCTTTGGAAGGAACTCCCCATCAACCACAGCAGGGACAATTCCAAGGACCTGTTTGGTTGGGCATTATATATATATATATATATATATATATATATATATAGTGGTTTCTTCCTAAAATTAATTGCAAGGAAGTCACATGAAGCAAAGCCGGGAATTCTGGAAGCATTCACAAATTTGAAACCCAATGAAGAAGAGTCTGCTTTGGTGTGACTGCTGAGAGGCTGTATTTGCAGGGCTGTCTCCAGGAATATGAAGGGACTAAGGAGCCAAAGTTGGGAATGGAAAAGGTTTTGGAGCAGGAGAAAAGGAAGAGGCCATTAAATGGGAAGAAAGCTGAAGTACTTTAGCCCTCAATGATCTCCACAACCCCGCCCCCACTTTTGCCCCAAAAGGAAATAATGGAAAAAAGGGTCCAGAGCGAGCAAAAATGGCAGGGCAATGGCTCCTGGGGCTCCTGGCTTCTCACCTGGCACAGCTGGATGTTCAGGGCAGCCAGTTCCTCCTCCGTCTTGCTCCTTAAGCAAAGCACCAGGGCAGCTGGGCTGCTGGCTTCACAGCCAGAGACATTGGCAACTGTCTTCAAGCATTAAGAAGACAAAACAACAAAAACAACCACTGTGTACAGGGGAATACACAGAGGAGGAGAAGTGGCAATGCACCTCTTGAGCAAAGGTGCCCCCCCCCCCCAAAATTCGTGCTGCCAAGAAGAGGGGAGAAACTGCTAAGAATGTACTGAAGGCAGCAAGATGGCCCTCCTCCTCCTCCTCCTCCTTGCACTTGAGGAGAGCAGTAAGAGCTGGAAGGGTTGCTGACTTACTCTCCTGGGCCATGGATTCAACTGGGCCATAGTCTCACCTGGACCATGGAAACACCTCAGCCATGGACTCCCCTGGACCATGCAGTCACCTTGGCAATGGACAAACCTGGGCTATGAACATAAATGGGCCATGGACACACCTGAGCCATGGACTCACCTGGACCATGGCTCCGGGGCTCCTCACAAGGAGGCTGGACAGGAGGGCGACTCCGCTCTCTGAGATGGCTCTGTGAAAGAGGCCCCTGGACAAGGGGGACAAAACCTGCACCGGAAAAAGGACAGAAATTGGGCAAGAGAAAGGCAGGTGGGCTTGTGCCTTTGAGGGCCTTGGTTTCTCCTTCCAACCTTGAGAAATAAAACAAACCAAAATGACAATGGCACCCAATCTGTTCTTGCAGAGAATGTGGCCTTTGTTGTCTTCACTGTTTTATAGTTTTTTTCTATTTTATTGGTAGACTTCTTTGGAAACAGGAGTTTTGTGACCAAACAAAGGCCTGAAGGATTCTTTCATAAATGGTGGCTTCCATCCCATGGGATCAATTGTTGGGTGATAAGCCAACACATTGAGAGATCCAGGCCCGTAGCCAGGATTTTGATTCGGGGGGGGGGGGGGGGGGGGGCTGAGTCTGAGTGAAAGAGGGTCCACCTGTCAGGAGTCAATTTCTGACGTTGTGGAGACATCATAAATTTCCTGCATGACATCCTGGCTGGATCATCCTGGCTGCCGCAGTTTTCTTTCTCTGACATTTTGACATTGGGGAGGTCCCAATCTCAGCGAAAGGTGTCAGATGCTAACCGTGGAAAGTTTTTAGAAGGTGGGTGGTTGAAAGTGTTCCAAGATGGATATAAGGCTGATCTGTGGCTACCGGAGCATCGGGGTGGACTAGAGGAAAAAGATGGACTGTGGTATCACAGAGAAAAGGTGTATGTTCCGGAGTCTGTTCGTGTAAAGGTATTAGAGAGGTCTCATGACCATAAAACAGCTGGGCACTTTGGATTTGTGAAAACTTTACAGCTAGTATCCCGTCAGTTTTGGTGGCCAAAAATCCGGAGAGATGTAAAGAGCTATGTACAAGAATGTGTCACCTGTGCAAGGGGAAAGTCTTTGATTGGAAAACCAAGAGGGTTGTTACAACCCGTGGCCAGTCCTTCTAGACCCTGGAAACAGGTTGCGATGGATTTTATTGTAGATCTACCTGAGAGCAAAGGATGTACAGTTATCTGGACTATTATAGACTTATTCTCTAAACAGGCCCATTTTGTACCGCTAAAGAAGGTTCCAAGCGCACCACAGCTAGCAAAGTTACTGCTACAACATGTATATCGCCTTCATGGGTGTCCTGAAAGAATAATCTCAGACCGGGGATCACAGTTTACAGCTAAGTACTGGAAGGCCTTTCTACGCATGATGGGAACTGAGCAAGGGTTGAGCTCTGCTTTCCATCCCATGACTGATGGCTGCACAGAACGAGTTCAAAAATCTTTGGAACAATTCTTAAGGTGCTATGTCAGTTATCAACAGGATGATTGGGAACAGTTGCTTCCTTTTGCTGAAGTGTGTTACAATAACTCATTTCATGCGTCTATAGGTTGTACTCCGTTCAAAGTGGTTTATGGACAGGACTTTGTGCCAATCCCAGAGCTAAAGATGGAACAAGAGGGAGTAGAAACCCCTTCGGAATGGAGCAAAAAGATAGCTGAAAGTTGGCCAGTCATTAAAAGTGCGTTGGAAAAGTCCAGGGAGGACTACAAGAAGTTTGCTGATAGGAAAAGGGCTCCACAGTGGGATTTTAACATCGGAGATAAAGTCTATTTGTCAACCAAATTCCTAAAGACAACCCAACCATCAAAGAAATTGGTCCCGAAATATTTGGGTCCTTTTGAAATAATAAAGAAAATCAACCCTGTCACAGTTAAGTTGTCCTTGCCACATCGTCTAAGGAGGGTACATCCAGTGTCCCACTGCAGTTTATTAAAATCTGTGTGTGGTCATGCCAAGTGGCACTTGCCAGGTGAGGTCCCAAATCCTATTCTGGTAGATGGGGAACAACATTTCGAGGTTGCTGATATTTTAGACTCCAGAAGACGTCGTGGAAGTTTACAGTATTTAGTGAAGTGGCGCCATTTCAATGACTCTGAGTGGGTGAGGGCAGCGGATATTCGAGCGCCACAGCTAATTAGGCGTTTTCATGTAAATTATCCCATGAAACCTAGTTAAGGTCGATGCTGCCGGTGTTTATGTTTTTCTTTCTAGGGGAGGAATCATGTCAGGAGTCAATTTCTGACGTCGTGGAGACATCATAAATTTCCTGCATGACATCCCGGCTGGATCATCCTGGCTGAGTTTTCTTTCTCTGGTTTTCCTGGTTTTCTTTCTCTGACATTTTGACATTGTGAAGCCAGCAGAGGGCGCTGGAGACTTTGTGTTGGAACTTGGGAGGGGGTATAAAAGGAAGTGGTGGTGGGGAAAAGGCAATAGTGTCTTCCTTTGCTGTGGAGAAACAAGCAAATTATATTCATTTCCATACTGACTTGTGAGTGATTATTTGCTACAAAAACCTACAGTCTTACAGCACCCTAGCAAACCTTTTGTATCGTTACCCCAATACCCCCTTGCATATGAGATATATTCAGCATGGTGATCAGATCATGATATGAGTAAACATAACAGTTTAAATAGTGTGAGGCCTTTTCACGGACCACCATGAGTATTTGGGGGGGGGCTGAAGCCCCCCAAGCCCCCCCCCCCCCCGGCTACATGCCTGGAGAGATCCCTTGGGATGGGAGATCTCTCAATAGATCTCTGTTGGGGTCCAGGTCCAGATTTCTGCTGGGGATCCAAGCCCAAATGTTCTGCATACAGAATTTTCCCTTCTGGGCCCATGGAACTGACTGGGCTTTGAACATTGAATTATGCTGCAAGAATTGTTTCAGTCATTAAGGTCCCAAAAACATTTTTGCTGCAGTTGTTGATAAAGCATCACTTTTGAGGAGGAGGAGGAGGCCGAAACAAAGGGCTCAGAGGCACCCAGAACAGGTTTCCCTGAAGCTTCTCTCTGGCCAAAGCCATGGGCCCTTGCAACTTCCGTGGGCTGGCTGACCATGACCCACCTGGACCCCCACGCTGAACCCTCCGGCCGACTCTCCCATGATGGTCACCAAAGCGGGGTCTCCTCCAAAGGCCTCGATGTTCTCCTGGACCCACCTGAGGGCTGCCACCTGGTCCAGCAAGCCCCAGTTGCCAGGCGCCTCCTTGGATCCGGTGCTGGAAGAGAGAGCCACAGCACGAAGGAGAGCTGGTCAAGCGACCCAGCAGCATTTGACTCCCATAAGCGAGGGAGTGACCATCTTATTACAATACTCGATTGGGGAAAGGATAAGGAATGCAGTAATTGCGGTAAGCCGCCTTGGGTCCATTGGAGAAAGGCGGGGTAGAAAAATCCAAAATAAATAAATAATAAATGGCAATTGTAGAACCTGGAGATTTATAACTTTATACATAACTTTATTTTTATACCCCGCCTCCATCTCCCCGAAGGGACTTGGGGCGGCTTACATGGGGCCATGGCCAGCGGTACAGTTAAAACAAAACACATTACAATCTCATCAACAACATAATAACAGAAGCAATGTAACAAAGTAAAAAACCAATAACATTAAGCAACATATAAAACAAAACGTGAAGGCCAACAACCAAAGGTAAAATTCAGCGTCTCGCCGTGGGTGGGCAGACTGGTGCCACAACCATAAAGGATAGAGCTAGTGAGTAAAGTGCATGTATCATATAGCAGCATTAAGGTTAGGAAAAGTTATCAGTCAAGGTTGAAACGTAATAGTGCTGAAGTGCTTAAGGACAGATGTGTGTGTGTGTGTGTGTCCTGACTAGGACCAGCTCTCCAAGGCACAGCCTAGTCGAAGGCGAAGCAGAGCACCCAGGTCTTTAAGCTTTGAGTTGCCTGAGGACTGAGAAAAGCAGTATATGAATAAAGTAAATAAATAAAGTAAATAAATAAACAAGCTTTGCCTCAACAGTTTTGTTGCAACAGCCAATAAGCAGGAAAACTCAAAATGAATACTTCTAAATAGATCGAAGCAGAGGTATGATAAAGTTGGGGGGAAAAACTTCTAAATTAAAGCCAAAAGGAAAAATATTGACAGGCCAATGATTAGTGACATAAAATAAAAAGATGGTTTAGAAACGATGATAAGAGAAATCAATCAAGGATTCCAAACCTTCTGCCGACATCTTCATCATTCAGAAAGTAAAGCATCCCAAGATATATTTTTTAATTGTGGTATGTCACCATTAAAAGCTCTTTCTGAAAAACTAGATGCGCTGTCAGCCTCCTTCCTTGGGTGTGGCAGCATGTCACAACAGGATAAAAAAAGGTCCAAATGGGCCGAGACTGGCCGGTCAAGCAAAGCGCAACAAGAAGGCCTTTCTCTAGACCAGGAGTCCACAAACTTCTTAAACAGAGGGTCACAGTCCCTCAAACTGTTGGAGGGCCGGATTATAATTTGAAAAGCATGAATGAATTCCTATGCACAAGGCACATATCTTATTTGTAGGGAAAAAACACTTAAAAACAATACAATAATTAAAAGGAAGAACAATTTTAACAAATATAAATGTGTGAGTATTTCAATGGGAAGTGTGGGCCCGCTTTTGGCTGATGAGATAGCATTGTTGTTGTTATTGTTTGCTTTCAAGTCATTTCAGACTTAAGCTGACCCTGAGCAAGGGCCGGCTAAATGACCTTGGAGGGCTGTATCCGGCCCCCGGGCCTTAGTTTGAGGACCCCTGCTCTAGCCCTTCCATACTGCCCCTATATCCCAGGATGTGATCCCAGGTTATCTGCTTTGAACTGGAGTATATGAGTTTTCACTGCCATATAATCTGGAATCCGATCCTGGGATATGGTGGCAGTACGGAAGGGGCCTCGGAGACATTTGAGGGAAGAGAATGGCCAAGAAGACAAGGGGCCGCTGTCCTGTGAGACGGTCAAAGGCCTTCCTCACCTGAAGAAGCCCGGGATCCCCACCCGGTACTGAAGGACCACCACCACCACGTCCTCAAAGGCAGAGAGGCTGGGCGCGTTGTATGGGGAGGCGGACCCCATAACCAGGGCCCCGCCATGGATCCAGACCAGCACCTGCAGAGGGACACAGTGGAGGACGGGGCTCATGGCCAAACATTGGGGGGCATGCCGGTTGCCTTGCTTCCCTCTGGACCGCCTCCAGCCCTAAGGCTACAGGGTCCCTAAACTGACCAAGGGGGCAGCTCTTTGGGGCCAAAGTGCAAATCAAAAGAGAAGACCCCCAGCACCAGGCCCCAAGGACCAGTGGCCACCCATTGCCAAAAAGCCGTAGCAATGGCCAGGGGGGCAGCGCCTGTCTCACCGGCAATTTGGCCTCTGTGTCCGGCGTGAAGACGTTGAGGTAGAGGCAGTCCTCAGAGACGGCCATGTCGGGCAGCGTCACATTCAGCGCTTGGCTCATCTCCTGCATCCAGCTCAGGTCCTGCAGGCACCTTGCAAACAGGGCAGGGAGGGGCAAGGTGAGGCAGCCAAGCCATCCCCCCCCCCCAGAGCGGGCCAGGCTCTTCCTGAAGGAGGGGGGCCCAAGGGCTCTCTGTGCCCCTTCTGCTGACCCTTGCCTGCCATGTGAAGCCACTGTGCCTTTGGGGCCGGAGACAACAGGCTCAGTCTCTCCTGTGGGGCAGCAGCCCCTGGGGGCCCCAAAGAGAGGCCCCTTTCCACCCCGAGGAACCAGCCCCGCTCCCCAGGCTTCCCTTGTCTGTTCGGTTCTCCTTCCCTCGAGGCGGCAGCCTGTGAAGGGATCCTCCCAAAGGGCCCCCCAGAGCTGAACACGGGGGCCAGCAACCTCGCCTCCCTGGCCTGAACAACAGGAAGAGGCCCCAAGGGCACAATGGTCTGGTGAGACCCCCAGGGCCCCTCTTCCCAGTCTGGCAGCTGAGCAGGGGAAGGGAGTCCATTTGAAGGGAAACAACAAAAACAATCCAAGCACGCAACTCCATGATGTCCAGCAGCACGAGATCAGGATGATACTTCAGAACACTTGATGTTGTATTCTTTCCCAATTCAGCACACAGGATCCATATTTACGAGTCTATTTTTGACACCTTTAAGGACGCACACAACGGGACTCCTCCAGTTTGGAAAGGCAGCCTGCTGGGCTCTTTGGGTCCCAACTGTGGCTTTCCTGCTGCTTTTTCACCCATTGCATCACTTTGGGGGCTGGCTTGACCCCAACCGCCCCCCATCACCCTCAAAATGTCTCCTCTGTCCCTAGCACACGTGTGAATCCCTGGCCCTGCTGCCCACCCCCCTGGCCGCACCTCAAGCCCCTTCGGGTCCAGGGGGAGGTGGCCCCCGGCCCGGCCTGGAGAGGGCCACCCCTGCGCTCCTTCCTTACATGGGGGGCTGGGAGGCGGCCTCCCTCAGCTGGGGCCAGGGCTCAGGCGGCTCAGGCGGCGCGAAGCGGAGGGCGCCCAGGGGGGGCTTGGCGAAAGGGACCCCGAGGAAGGCCTGGACGGGGCCAGCAGCGCCCTCCACGCTCATCAGGGTCCCCCGCAGGCGCCCCAGTCGGGTGGAGACGGTCGGGCGGGCGCTTCCAGGACCTGGAGGCAGAGACAGGAGAGCCGTGAGGGTCCTCCCCACAGAACTGGGGGCTTCCATCCTCGGAGCAGAAGGGGCCACGACCAGAGGGGGCCGGGGCAGTGGCGGGGAAGGGTAACTGCCCTCCTGTCCTGGGCTCCGGAGCGGACGAGGAGGGCCTCTGGCCTCAGACCCAACTCCTGGGTCCAGCCTGACTCCCACATGCACGCAACATGCTGGGTGCAATGGGAAGTCTTTGGAAGAATACGGTGCAGTCTGGAAGTAGCTAAAGACACTCCGGGATCGATGCAAGGTGTACAGAAGTTGATTGAAAATGATATGATTATAACTGTATTTGTGTTTGCACTGGTTGCCCTAATGCTGGAGCGGCCTAGCTGTGAGGAGTGTGTTACCATGGAAACGATGCTGTAGAGAAGTGGGAGGAGCTTAGAGAGGAGAGTTTTGAAAAGCGACAGTTAAAGTCAGTTAGGGTTTAGGCTCAGAGGAATGAAGAGTTGGGGGTTTAGGCTCAGAGGAGGGGTTTAGGCTCAGAGGAATGAAGAGTCAGGTTTTAGGCTCAGGGAAATGAAGTGTTGAGAGAGAGAGTGGGAAGTAGAGAAGCAGTGTTTGTGAATAGTCAGAGGTTTCTTCAGTTTAGGAAGGCTGAAGGGGAAACCTTATTAGTTTCATTAGTTAGAGAAGACTAATAGAAGCTTGTTTAGATCACTAGTTAAAAGTGAACTAGAGATCTGAGATTTGATCACGGAAGGATCAAACAGGAAGACTATTCACCTCAGGAACCATTGTTTAATAAAGTGCTTCACCACAGCAAAAGTTATTGATAAGTTGTAACATCAGAAGTCTGTACTGTATCGCAACCAAGTTATATGTAACGTTCTCCAAGTATCTTCCAAGTTTATCACCAAACTGCAACCATACGCTTTGTTTCAAAATAAACTTGTTCTCTTTGATTTTAAGACTGCCTCATCTCCATTAATTCTGCGTTCAGTGTGCCCAATCTCCCAAAATTACCTCACATCACAAATTGGTGGCACCATTAAGAATAATAAATAATAAATCGTAACTTGTCTCTCTCCTGAAACCCCTTTTCTTTGAATTGGGGCAAGCCCTTTGCACAAGGTGTGAAGGTTTTCCTTTGGGTCCGTGATTGTTGTTATAGTTTTAATGGTTTCAATCTACGGTGGTGTTTTATACACGTGAGGCATTGAATTTTGCCCTGGAGTATGCTTTGACTGACCTTGAAGGAGCTGGGGGTGGTGACGGCCGACAGGGAGCTCTGGCGTGGGCTGGTCCATGAGGTCACGAAGAGTCGGAGACGACTGAACGAATGAACAACAATGCTTTGAGTCACCCGGGAGGGAGAAAAGCCCGATACGGTTCCGGCTCAGTTTACTTGTCCGAACCTGTCTCCCTCGATGACCCACCTTGGGGTTTACGATCATTGGGGGAGGCCCTGCTCTCGATCCCGCCTCCCTCGCAAGCACGACTGGAGGGGACGAGAGACAGGGCCTTCTCGGTGGTGCCCCCCCCCCGTTCCAGTCTGTGGAAGGCACTCCCCAGTGAAACCAGGGCGACTTCTTCTCTCCTCTCCTTCAGGAAGAAACTCAGGTCTTGCTTTGGGACCAAGCATTCGGGCAGCCGGCCAAGCAACGTCTGTAATGACTCTGAGAATGGTTAATGAAGAGACCTTGGAATGGAACTCTGGACTACGGTTTGGATTTGCGGACTCAGGCTTGGTTGTGCTAATCTTTTAAGGGCCAATGTCTTCATGTATTTTATTGCTGTTGATTTGCTCATGTTAATTGTTGTGCCCTGTTTCCTTGTCCGCATCTAATGACTGCCAATGGAAGGCCTCCCTGAGTCTCCCTTGGGGGGGGGGGGTTGAGGGGGGGGGCGGGATTCAAAGGCTCTCGATAAATAAATAAATAAATAAATACAAGCATAAACAAACCGGCCTCTCAAGGCAGCGCAGCACAATGGCTGGTCCAGGCCAGACCCCAGCGCTGCCTCTCAAGGTGACACCCTCTGCCCAGGGCGGCAGGCGGGGCTGCTGACCCAAACCGGCCACATCGCCTTGGCCCGGCTTGGCCCCGCTCTGCTGCTGCCGCCCCGATTGTTCCACCAGGCCCATCCTGGGGTCCCTCAAAGGCTGGCTTCTGAACCCCTCTACACAGCGGCGAGAAGTAATGAAGATACAGCCCCCCCCCCCCAGCAAAAGTGTTCCACGTGCTCCATTCCCACGCTGGGCTTTGGGTCCTGCCCTGCCCAGTTGCGCCCCCCTGGTGTGGGAGGGAGGCCAGTCCCAAGCAGCGGGGAAGGCCCCTTGGCACAAGGTGGGCGGGGTCTCGGGAGGGGGGGGGGCTTTTTTATCCTGTCAGAAGCGAATTGAGAACATACTGCAAGTCGCTTCTGGTGAGAGAGAATTGGTGGGCTGCAAGGACGTGGCCCAGGGGACGTGGTCAGGGTGTGTTGCCACCTGAGGGAGGCTTCTCTCCTGTTCCCGCATGGGGAGCTGGGGCTGACAGGCGGGAGCTCACTCTGTCTCGCGGACTCGAACCGCTGACCTCCAGGTCAGCAGTTCAGCCGGCACAGGGTTGAACCCATTGCGCCACCGCGGAGGCTCCCGAGGAAGAGGGGTCTCTGCGGGGGGGGGGGGGGGGGGGCGGAAGGCAGAAGGGCGCCGGGCCCTGGCAAGGGAGGGGCCCATTCACTGCTCGGCCCGGTGCCCCACGGGTGGCCAAGACCCTGCCCCCCCCCCCCGCAGGCGCCCCTTCTGCGCCCCTCCCTGACCCTAATCCTGCCCCTCCGAACTGGCAGGCGGGCAGAGGGGGGGGGGCGGAGAAGCCTTTCAAGCTGAAGGTTTCCGAAGAAGAGGAAGGCAACGAGAGAGAGAGAGGGGGGGGGGGAAAGGGGGGGCTCAAGGCGGGGAAGAAGCAGGGCGCAGGCATTACCCTCTTCGGCGACGGAGGCCCCCGAGGGGACCGGGGCCCAGGGCACGAGGGCCAAGCCCAGCAGCAGGACCCACGCCGCTCGCATCGCGCCCTCTTCTCTCTCTCTCTCTCTCTCTCTCTCTCTCCCTCCCCGCCGAGGGAAAGACCCCGCCCCTCCTCGCCTCCCCCAAAAGAAGGGGAGGGCCGGGAGGGGGAGGGGGAGGGGGAGGGGGAGGGGGGCTCCTCTTCTGCGCTGATTTCTTGGCTAGAAGGAAGGAGGATGAGGAGGAGGAGGAGGAGGAGGAGGAGGAGGAGGAAGGGGGGGGGGGGGGGGGGGGTCCAGGCGCACGAGCCCTGACTTGCTCGTCTCGGGATTTATTTATTTATTTATCGTGTCAGGAGCAACCAGACAGTTGTATTACATTTTTAACAAACAAACAAACAGACAAAGCACAAACTCTGCAAGCTTGGTAGTTGATGAAATGTCCTCTGACCAGTAGTACCTGGCCCCTTGGCCCTGCCTCTGGTGTTGCCGCAAGCAGGCCCCTAGCCAGGATTTCCATTCGGGGGGGGGGGGGGGGGAATTTTTTTCAGGGGGGGGGGGGGGGGGGGGGGGGGGGGGGGGGGCTGAGTCTGAGCGAAAGAGGGTCTACCCTAGCAAACCTTTTGTATCATTACCCCAATACGACCCCCATCATGCATATGGGATATATTGAGTATGGTGATCAGATCATGATAGGAATAAACATCACAGTTTGAATAATGCACCAGGAAGGCCTTTCCTGATGGATGGCATCCTTGAAGTGACTGGACTGACCTTGAAGGAGCTGGGGGTGGTGACGGCCGACAGGGAGCTCTGGCGTGGGCTGGTCCATGAGGTCACGAAGAGTCGGAGACGACTGAACGAATGAACAACAACAACAAGGCCTTTTCGCGAACCACCATGAGAATTTTGGGGGGGGGAGTGAAGCCCCTCAAGCCCCCCCCCCGCTACATGCCTGGGTGGGGGCTGGGGCCTGAGAAAGAGGGAGCCAAGGGCCCTGCCAAAGGCGGGGGGGAGGGAAAGGGGTTCTCTTCTGCCACCCCTGGCAGCCCCCCCCCCCCCCGGCTCAGGCCTGCAGCCACAGAGACCCATGTCCTGTATGACATGCTTAATGGTCGGATTATGACTGGCCCTTTCCGGAACCTGTTGATAGATGATCTGGGCGACTGCTGGGAGCCCTCAAGCCCAACCTGGCTATTGACATGAGGAGTTGAAACACTTCCGCCTGGCCCCTTGGAGCCAGCCCATTACCCCAGGGGGCAGTGACGCTGGTGTCTTGATGGGGTCTGCTGGTCCATTTTACTGGGAAGGGGGAATGCCATTGCCTGGAAAGTGGTGACACTCCCTTCTCCTCGCAGAGAGGAAATGTTCTTTGCGAAGAAGAAGAGCGATTAGCAAGTCCAAAGGTTCCGCTAGTCCTCAAGGGCAGTGTGCAGCACTCACATGTCATGTTGGCCTCACAAACCCTCCTCCGTCTGCTTTGGACAGGCAACTAGTCCAGCGAGAAGCAGCCAGATTGCTCACCGGAGCGTCATACAGGAAGCACACCACCCCCCTGTTGTGTCAGCTCCACTGGCTGCCGATCCAATTCCGAGCACAATTCAAAGTGCTGGTTTTAACCTACAAAACCCTATACGGTTCCGGCCCAGTGTATTTGTCCGAACAGATCTCCCTCTACATCCCACCTCGAAATTTAAGATCGTCTGGGGAGGCCCTGCTCTCGACTCCGCCACTATCACAAGTGAGGTTGGCGGGGACGAGGAGCAGGGCCTTCTCAGTGGTGGCCCCTCACCTGTGGAACTCACTCCCCGGGGAGATTAGATCAGCGACCTCCCTTTTGGCGTTCAGGAAAAAACTGAAGACCTGGATATGGGACCAAGCTTTTGGACATTCTGGCAGCTAAGGGAAGATCTGACGATAAACATGGGCGAATGGAATGGAATGGACATACGGAACTCTGAACACTGAGCATGAGAGGGTTCTGCTGTTTTATTATGTACTAATGTTTTTAACTTGTTAACTGTTTAAATCGTTCATAGGTATCGTTTGTTTATTGATTCAGGCATCGAATTGTGCCTTTGTTTGTAAGCCGCCCTGAGTCCCCCCTCGGGGGTGAGAAGGGCGGGGTAGAAGTAATTTAAATAAATACATAAATAAATAAGGGACCTCTCTCCACCCCCTTACGCTCTTTCCGCTTGGCCCCTTCGGGAGCGCTGTTTGCGTTACTTACTTAGGCGATCCCTCGTTGGACGAGTAAGATGGTCTTCCGTTATGGATTTCCTTGTGGGTCCGTATGTGGCTGTGGAGCCCTATTCTTGCTCTGCATCTTCTTCCGCAGTGAGGAGGGCATTGGTTTCCAGGTGGAAGGCGGTCCCGGTCGGGGTTGGCTTGACGCGCCTTCCTTTTGGCATGCTTCTCCCTTTCGCCCTCCATTTGTGCCTCTTCAAATTCTGCAGCACTGCTGGTCACAGCTGACCTCCAGCTGGAGCGCTCAAGGGCCAGGGCTTCCCAGATCTCAGTGTCTATGCCAGAGTTTTTAAGGTTGGCTTTGAGCCCATCTTTCAATATCTTTTCCTGCCCACCAACATTCCGTTTTCCGTTCTTAAGTTCAGAGTAGAGCAACTGCTTTGGGAGACGGTGGTCAGGCATCCGGACAACGTGGCCGGCCCAGTGGAGTTGATGGTGGAGGAGCATCGCTTCAATGCTGGTGGTCTTTGGTTCTTCCAGCACACTGACGTTTGTCCGCTTGTCTTCCCAAGAGATTTGCAGGATTTTATGGAGGCAGCGCTGATGGAAACGTTCCAGGAGTTGCATGTGACGTCTGTAGACAGTCCACGTCTCACAGACATAGAGCAGGGTTGGGAGGGGAATAGCTTTGTAGACACGCACCTTGGTCTCCCTACGGATGTCCCGGTCCTCAAACACTCTCTGCTTCATTCTGGAAAATGCTGCACTTGCAGAGCTCAGGCGGTGTTGTATTTCGGCGTCGATGTTGACTTTGGTGGAGAGGTGGCTGCCAAGGTAGCGGAAATGGTCCACATTTTCTAATGTGACACCATTAAGCTGTATTACTGGCATTGGAGAGGGATTGGCTGGTGACTGCTGGAACAGCACCTTGGTTTTCTCAATGTTCAGTGATAGGCCGAGCTTCTCGTATGCTTCTGCGAAGGTGTTTAGAGTGGCTTGTAGATCTTCTTCTGAATGCGCACAGACGACGTTGTCATCAGCATACTGGAGTTCTATAACAGATGTTGTTGTAACCTTGGTTTTGGCTTTCAGTCTGCTGAAGTTGAATGCCTGTCGAGAAAGAAGGAAGGAAGGAAGGAAGGAAGGAAGGAAGGAAGGAAGGAAGGAAGGAAGGAAGGAAGGAAGGAAGGAAGGAAGGAAGGAAGGAAGGTCGGAGTTCCGTCATGGGAAAACCCGGACCCTTAAGCCTGGCCCCAAACCCTGGCCCCCTCCTTGCTCTCCTTCCCCCAAACGGAAGTCTCTTCCCGCCTGCCCCCCCCCTCCCTCCCTCCCTCCTCCCCCCCCCCCCCCCCCCCCCCCTCCCCTCCCCTCCCCTCCCCTCCCCTCCCCTCCCCTCCCCTCCCTCCTTCACAGCCTCCCTTGGGGAGCGTGCTCGGCGCTCCCGTTCCTCGCTCTCCTGCTCTCGCCGCCTTCTCACCCCCTCCCTCTCCCTTCAGCAGCACCCGCAGCAGGGGTGCCTTCCTCCCCCACCTTCCTTCCTCCCTCCCTCCCTCCTTTCTTTGGGCCTTCAACTCCCAGAAGCCTCAGCTGCCTTGGCCCCAGGAGCGGGGATTCTGGGGGATGGAGTCCCAGGAAAGACGGAGGGAGGGAGGGAGGGAGGGAGGGGCCCCCTCCAGCCGCTCTCCCTCTCCCCCCCCCCCCCCCCGGGCCTCCTGCACCAAGCCCCGCCTCTCTTTGGGCGCCTGCCCGTGGCCGCCATGTTTGGGGCGGGCGGAAGTACAGCGAGAGGGGCGGCCTCGGCTTCCTAGAGAGACGGAAAAGTGCTCGGGCGACGCGACTCGCTCTGAGGTCACTTCCGGAGGAGGGGAACGGAGAGCCGCAATCTCAACGGGAGAGAGAGAGAGAGAGAGAGAGAGAGGAGGAGGAGGAGGAGAGGTAAAACTTTTAGAAAGTTTTCTTTTTTTGGTGGGGGAGGGGAGGGGGGGGGGTTGTGCCCCTGGTTTCCTCCTCCTGCTCATTAAAATAGTTGCAAAACGTTCCTTAAATATATAGACAAACTCACAAAAATATTCTCAGAAATAATCATAACATCTTTCCTTTTTTATTAATTTTTATTGATCTTTTTTCAAGGTAAATAATGAAACGAGGAGAGGAAACGTCGAAAGAAAAGGAAAAGAGAGAAAGAAATTAAGTGTATAAAATAGGGGGAGAATTGGGTTGGGGAGGGGGGAGGGGGGAGGGAGGGGGGAAATAATGGTCGTAAAATATTTCCTGTGGTGCCCCCCCCTAAAGAGACCAGATCCACTCCCACCCTCCTGACCTTCCAGAAGAGACTAACATGAGGCCGAGCCCAAAAATAGTACAACAAAATAAGATACAAAACAACAGAAAGTTAAACATAACAAAATCCATAATTTAACACAATAAAATAGACAATGCAAAATAACATAATAAAACCAATCACAAAGGTGCAAGATAATGTTAAAACGCTAAAACCCTGGGTGAGATAGGAAATAGAAAAGTGAGACCACTGAGACCCTCGCCAATGACCGATGAAGACCAAACTTGGCACACAGAGTCCCCATGACCCACTCTACACCCCGATGCTGTTTGGAGGAGGACGGATGATGGATGATGGGACTTGCAGTACCTTCACTCATTTCCTGAAAACACAGCGACACGTATCCAAATACCAAGAAAGACCAAACTTGGCACAGAGAGCCCCCATGGCCAACTCAACATTCTGGTGAGGTTTAGGGGAGAACATACTATGGATGATGGGACTTGCAGTACCATAACTCACTTTCTGAGAGCACTGCAACCCTCATCCAATCAGTGATCAAGACCAAACTTGGCACACAGAGCCCCCATGACCCACTCTCCATCCTGGTGCAGTTTGGAGGACGATGGACCACGGATGATGGGACTCGCAGTACCTTCACTAACTTCCTGAGACCACTGATAAATAACTGATAAAGACCAGCCTTGACACACCATTCCTTTCTCAAATAACCTGGGCAACACCGGGTCCTCAAGCTCATATTTACTAATGCTTCCTCTTCATCTTGGAAAGAAGTGACAAGTGGAGTGCCGCAGGGTTCCGTCCTGGGCCCGGTCCTGTTCAACATCTTTATTAATGACTTAGATGAAGGGCTAGAAGGCATGATCATCAAGTTTGCAGACGACACCAAATTGGGAGGGATAGCCAATAGTCCAGAGGACAGGAGCAGGATTCAAAACGATCTTGACAGATTAGAGAGATGAATGGCCAAAACTAACAAAATGAAGTTCAACAGTGACAAATGCAAGATACTCCACTTTGGCAGAAAAAATGAAATGCAAAGATACAGAATGGGAGCCTGGCTCGAGAGCAGTACGTGTGAAAAAGATCTTGGAGTCCTCGTGGACAACAAGTTAAACATGAGCCAACAATGTGATGTGGCGGCAAAAAAAGCCAATGGGATTTTGGCCTGCATCAATAGGAGCCTAGTGTCCAGATCTAGGGAAGTAATGCTACCCCTCTATTCTGCTTTGGTTAGACCACACCTGGAATATTGTGTCCAATTCTGGGCACCACAATTCAAGAGAGATATTGACAAGCTGGAATGTGTCCAGAGGAGGGCGACTACAATGATCAAGGGTCTGGAGAACAAGCCCTATGAGGAGCGGCTTAAGGGAACTGGGCATGTTTAGCCTGAAGAAGAGAAGGCTGAGAGGAGATATGATAGCCATGTATAAATATGTGAGAGGAAGCCACAGGGAGGAGGGAGCAAGCTTGTTTTCTGCTTCCTTGGAGACTAGGACGCAGACAATGGCTTCAAACTACAAGAGAGGAGATTCCACCTGAACATGAGGAAGAACTTCCTGACTGTGAGAGCCGTTCAGCAGTGGAACTCTCTGCCCAGGAGGGAGTGTGGTGGAGGCTCCTTCTTTGGAAGCTTTTAAACAGAGGCTGGATGGCCATCTGTCAGGGGTGATTTGAATGCAATATTCCTGCTTCTTGGCAGAATGGGGTTGGACTGGATGGCCCATGAGGTCTCTTCCACCTCTTTGATTCTATTTATTTATTTGATTTATTTAGCAGTTTTGTATACCGGTCTTCTCACCTCCGTTCGAGGGACTCAGGCCGGTTTCCAACATCAATATTACAGACAGTCATTAAAACATCATATTCTATAGTAAAAAAATACAAGAAGACAAGGGAAGCAGAAGTGGTGCAGAAGCAGTGGTGGTGCTCCCTGCTCATCCCTCCTCTTCCCTCCCCATCTGAGTAGGAGGGGGGGGGCTGACTTTGGGCGGGAGACCTCCCTCCTCCTCTCTCTCCCCAGCATGGCCACCCCAGGCCCAGCTCTCTCGGCCCTGGCTGATCTTTGTCTTTTTCCTCTTGCAAGTGTCAGCCTAGCAGTGGCAGGAACAGCATTAAAGGCAGAGCTTTGCATTAGGATCTGGGAGGCTTCGTTTTGGAGAGATCGCTATGGAAAGTGGGAAGGGTCAGAATGCAAGAGAAGCAAAAGCGATGCAGAAGCAGGGCTGGCGTTCTCTCCTCATCCCTCCTCTTCCTTCTCCATCCGAGGAAGAGCAGCAGGAGGAAGGGGAGAGGAGAGGAGAGGAAGAGGAGAGAAGGAGGAAGAGGAGAGGAGGAGGGCCGGCCTTGGGCATGGGCCCCCCTCCTTCCCTCCTCCTGTAGCATGGCCATCTGGCCTCACGCGCTTGGCCAGGGCTCCTCTTCAGCTCCTTCCTCTTGTGTGGTGGTGGGGGTGAGAGTCATGAGTGCCCCCCTTCCTCCTGCTCTAGCCCCCTCTCCTTGTCCCCGTCGCCTACAACTGGGCGGGACGGCAGACCCCGTTGAGCGGAGGAGGGGGGGGAGGTGACTTGGGGCAAGCAGGGAGACCGGTGCGCATTTACTGTATCACGTGAATGGAATGTGCACCCCAATTTTGGCGTGGTCGCTTAGCCAAAAAAAAAAAGTGGGTTTAGATTCACCTAAATGCAGTTATAATGAAATGAGCATTTAGCACATGCTGGCTCTTCACCGAAACACATTATCCAGAATGAATAATTGCCTCTCTTCTTTAAACCACATTTGGGATTGACCCAATGAATTCAGTGTGGCCTCCTAACACAGAAAGCGGTTCCCCTTCCCTTCCTTCCTGCGGTGGTTTTTAAGGTTTCTGTGTGCATCCTTGAGACACTTCATGCCTCTATTTCTTGGAACTTCCATTCTCAACATGATCATGAAGGGAAAAGAGGGAAATGTTGGAGGCAAAGGAGCTTTGGGGCTTCATGTTTAACCTTTCGCTTCTTCTTTCTTGACCAGGGACATGAAGGTTCTGTGGAGCCACCCCTGGCACCAGCTTCGAGTGGATATTGAACAATTTGGAAACCAAAGTGTAGTAAGGAAACCAGTCCTATTGGAAAAGGAAATAATCTCAAGGGGCCAATCTTGCTGACTTCTTAAACTCACTTTAGATCAGAAAGGGAAAAACAAGAGTCAATATTGCAATGATATGAACATAACACTGGCATCCTTGAAGTGACTGGCTTGACCTTGAAGGAGACCCTGGGGGTGGTGATGGCCAACAGGGAGCTCTGGCGTGGGCTGGTCCAAGAGTCGGAAGCGTCTGAACGAATGAACAATAACAACACTGTCACCATGGAGGAGAAAGCATATACATGTATTGAATGTGGCAAGAGCTTTAAACAGTGTAGAGATCTGAAGACACATCAAAGGACTCACACTGGGGAGAAACCCTATAACTGCCTGGAGTGTGGAAAGAGCTTCACCCAGAGTGCACATCTGCATTCACATCAAAGGACTCACACTGGGGAGAAACCTTATACATGCTTGGAGTGTGGAATGAGTTTCACTCATAGTGGAAATCTACGTTCACATCATAGGACTCACACTGGGGAGAAACCCTATACATGCTTGGAGTGTGGACAGAGCTTCACTCAGAGTGGACATCTACGTTTGCATCAATGGACTCACATTGGGGAGAAACCTTATAAATGCCTGGAGTGTGGAAAGAGCTTCATTCAGAGTGGACATCTACGTTTACATCAAAGGACTCACACTGGTGAGAAACCCTATACATGCCTGGAATGTGGAAAGAGCTTCACTGAAAGTGGAAGTCTACGTTCACATCAAAGGACTCACACTGGGGAGAAACCCTATATATGCTTGGAGTGTGGACAGAGCTTCACTCATAGTGGACATCTACGTTTACATCATAGGACTCACACTGGGGAGAAACCCTATACATGCACACAGTGCGGAAAGAGCTTCACTCAGAGTGGAAGTCTACGTTCACATCAAAGGACTCACACTGGGGAGAAACCCTATACATGCTTGGAGTGTGGACAGAGCTTCACTCAGAGTGCACATCTACATTCACATCAAAAGACTCACACTGGGGAGGAACCTTATAAATGCCTGGAGTGTGGAAAGAGCTTCACTCAGAGTGGAAATCTACGTTCACACCAGAGGATTCACACGGAGTGGAAACTCTATACATGCCTGGAAGGAAATTGTTAAGTTTACATTTACAATGACACCAGAGTTTTGTTTCTTAATAATGCTGGATGATAATCTAGAGAGAAAATGTGTAAGATTGCAAAATATATAATAACATTATGTTACAAAATTTGAAAAAAAAAATCTGCTTCTGATTTGAAAGTTTTGTTTCCTTTCAAGGGAGGCTCATTGACAACAATGGAGGGAAACTCCAGAGATCCCCCTTTCCTCCCCCGCTCTCCTCACCTCACCTGACCTGGGGCTGCAGAGCGTTGCAGGCGGGAGGGTGAACGGGCCTCTCCCTTCCTTCCTTCCTTCCTTCCTTCCTTCCTTCCTTCCTTCCTGGGTGGGAAAGGCGCGGTGCTTCCTTGGAGAAGAGGGAGGGAGGGAGGGGACAGAAGACAGGGAGCCTGCCCAGGGAAGGAGTCTGCGTGGCAACAGGGAGGAAGAGGGGGGAGGGGGTGTGGCCGGGCTGCCCTCCTGCTCCCTGATTGGTGCCACTGGTGATAGTATGACAGCTCTGAGCATTATGCACATTCCGCAACGGTGGTTGTGAATAAGGGAAGGGGAGAGCGGCACACTGAGGACGGGAATATACATCGTAGTTGAATTGGTGGAAGGATAGAAAGGAGGGGAGGGTTAGAGCTAGGATTAGGGTTTGGGTTAGGATTAGGCTTAAGGGTTAGGGTAAGGGTAAGGGTTTTACCATTAAAGAACTCTGACATTCCCTCTATAATACTTGTGTTCCATTCTGCGTTGCACAAATATAATCGAGGTTGATTTTGAGAGGGACTCCCCAGTAAGGGAGACCCCTAGAACCGCACCAAAGAGGGTCCCTAACCTTGGCGAGATCAGAGAAGCGAATTCCAGTGATTAAAAATATTAAAATTAATTCTCACCAAAGCGGAAAAAGATGGTGACCGAGGCTCTTTATTAGCGATTCAGCTGAGATCGGATGCAATTGTGGGAATATTTCCACCACAGGCATGCCAACATAGAGTTTACGAGCATTTTGATAGGCAAAATACAGAAAAACATTTCAAATCTCCCGCTCTTCCCCGCCCGGCTTCTCGCTGATTGGCTGACAGGTCGAACAGCTGGGAGGAGGCTTGGTGGCCCACCTCGCTCTGGGCCAATCAGCAGGCTTCCCCACCTCTGGGAAGCCAATCAGGGCGCTCCTCTCGCTTCCAAGGATGGATGAATCAGGGAAGAGGAGGCGGGACGAGCGCGGACAATGGAAGGCAATGGGGGATAATGATGTTATCGGCCAGCTGGGGCATCGAGGCATTGTCTGGCCAGAAAAAGCTTGATTGCATTAAGAAAGGTTTTCCTGTCCCGGATCTGATAAGGTGTGCCTTTTGATGGGTCTTGTGAAAGAAGCAAACAGAGCCGGGGCGAGGGGACCCCTGGGGCGGCCTCGTCCCTTTGTAATTAAATCAAAATGTCCAAAGAAAATTCTTCGTCTGTCAGACCACTCAGAAAACAAAGGATTTCCAGTTTGCTACTGTCCATGCAAAAATGTTTGATGATTAGGTTGGTTTCCAGGGGGACTATAGCCCTCCCTCAGGCACTGACTAGTTCCTGGTTGCATTTTTCTGGGGCAAAGAGCGAGGGGTGAAACAGAAGGGTGAATAATATTTCATACATATACAAGTAATACATAAGCCTTACATGTACAGAGCCTTACATGTACAGAGAAAGATCCTGTCCGCATCCCACATCCCACACATATTTAATAAAAGAATTGATTTTTATTAGAAGACTTTGAGTTCGAGTTTTTTTGAGAAAGTTCGTGAAAATAGATGTGTCCTGTAGTCCAAGGCAGGCAACAGAAAGTGTTTTTTGTCTTGTAAAGGTTAACAGATGGACTCCTAGTTGATTTGCTACGAATCCACAGCTTGGTCCTTGGGAAACTATAACTCCCTCCCAAGGACTGGGCTTCCTGCCCTGGCTCCTCTCCGTAGCCTCATTGGGGGAGCCGCATCAAGTCTCCAGGTCCGGGGCCACGCAGGAGCGAACGGCAGCGAAGAAGAATTGGTGGTTTGCATGGAACTGGCGATTTTGGCAATCAGCTGTTTTCTGTCAACTTACATTCTCAAAAATAAAGAGGTTATTTCCCGGGCATAGGGATCCAAAATGAGAAAAGCAAGATAGCAGTCTAATTTAGAATTTAATACAGAAAAATATGGCATTAAAATGGAGCCGATCCGCCATTTTATGATTTTTGTGAATACCGAGATCCAAAGGGGGGATTCCCGTATCCGCTGTCCCAATTGACACAGATCCAGCGTCCCCAGGACTCCAGGAAGGCATCCCAGGCAGGCTCGCGGTTCCCCGGAGCCTAGAAAAAGGTTTATTTCATGCATTAGGTAGTTCAGGCAAGTGAAAGACACAAAGTAACAAGCAGGAAAGTTAAAAGTTGCAAATCTCAAGTACTTTTATTAGGGATTAGATACAAAGTCAGGGCTTGGGGAAAGTAATAGGAAGGCATAGAGGCTGAGTGCAGTCCTAGTTTGAGCTGTCTGTTGGGGCACATTTCATCAGTTTGTCCCAATTGTGGCCTCCAGGAAGTGCGGAACTCTCTGCTGCAGTTCAAACCAACTTGGGGGCGGGGGCCCTCGATGTCACAAATAGCACTCCCGAAGGAGCGAAGCAGAAACAGCGTCATGCTCAGAGCTTCCGGACCCAGCTTTCCTACTGTTACCGCACTGCCGCCACTCCCGCCCCCTTCCCTTCCCTCCCCTGGGGCCAGTAGGGCCACCTGGCACCCTCCCTCCCTCGCGCGAGCACCGTCATGATTCAAAAAGGTCTAGGTTTCCCCTTGCTGACCGGAAGCCTCGTCCCACTCGACCCTGGTGCGCCTCTCCATTTTTAAGCCAGAGCCGGCGTTATCCGCAGATGCCTCCAAGGTCACGTGGCTGCGGGCATGACTGCATGGGGTGCCCTTACCTTCCTGCTGGAGCGGTACCTATGCATCTATTCCCATTTGCATGTTTTCCAACTGCTAGGTTGGCAGGAGCTGGGGCTGACTGCGAGAGCTCACCCCGCACTCTGGATTCAAACCACCAACCTTTTGGTCACCAACTTCAGCCGCTCAGCAGTTTAAGCCAGTGCACCACCAGAGGTGTTATGATTATTACAATGGCTGATATTGGTCAATAGCCAGGTGGCCATTGCTAACAGTCAACATAGCAAAAGCAAGTCATGCCAGGCTCACTGGTTCTCCCCAAGGTGGCTTCCTCCTCCTCCTCCTCCTCTTCGTCCTGGGAAAAAGTGGCAAGCAGAGGGCCCAAAACAGGGTTGCTTCCTGGGCCCAGTCCTGCCCAGATCTTGATTCATGACTTAGAGAAAGGTAAGACCACCAAGTTTGCAGGCAGGACCCAATGGGGAGGGGGAGCCAGGACCCCGGGAGACGGGAGCAGAACTCAAAGGGATCTCAACAGGTGAGAGATGGGCGATAGGCCAAAACACACACAATGAAGCTCAACCGGAGCAAGCGCAAGATGCTCCACTTGGGCAGAAAAAAGGAAATGCAAGGAGGCCGCAGGACGCGTGGAAAAGACGACCTTGGAGTCCTCCTCGTGGGGAAGGAGGGAGGAGAACAGGGGCCAGGAATGTCAAAAAGCCAATGGGATGTTGGCCTGTGTAACGGAATAACTAATTATAATGGAGGGAGGTTTTGCCTGTGTTCATTAATGTTGATATGTGACAAGTACAGGCAGCAGTTGGCTACATCTGATTGGGCGATGCGTTGCCATGGTTGTGTAGCCTCTGCAGTAGAAACGTATCCATTTTAGAGTGGCTAGGAAGAAGAAGGGGCGGAGCTAACTGAAAAAGGAGAAGAAGGGACATTTTTAAAAAACCAGGCAGTCTCTGGCCAGGATAGCTGGAGTGAAGAAGTTCCTAGTTTAAGTTTGAGTCTTGAGCTGTGAAACTAAAGTAATAAAGGAACCATTTTGAATCAGGATCTAGCCTGTGAGCTAGAAGGAAGAAAATCCTTGTGTAGGATTATACTTTCAGTGGTAGTACTGAAGAGATAAGAGATTAATTTGAGTCAAAGTCCTCAGCTGGGTGGAACTGAGAAGCAGAGAGTTCTCTGAGAAAAAGTTTGCTGTGAAACTATTGATAAGAAGAAGAAGAGACCATAAGGTACTAGTTATAGGGTCAGAAGGCTGAGGAAGAATTACATTTGAAAGAGAAGAAAGTCATCTAACCAAGTTGGCATAAGATAAGCTGTTCTGAAAGTTATATAGTAACCGCTTTATGTATTATTCACAAGAGCAAAAGACGAATGTAACATTATCCAGGTGGAACTGAAGAAAAGTACTGTGTAACAAATACGCTTTCTGTGCACAAGAATTCATAAATAAACATTTATTTGTTTCAACTAATATATTAATGGCTCGTGTCAAGTTACAGAATTGAAGTGATATTCCAGAAAGGTGGCTGAATATTATATTGAAGCTAAATACTGTCTACAGTATTGGGTTACACAGCAAAGAGTCATATATAGAGATATTTAAAATTAAAACCTGCAACAAGCAAATATAACTAAGGTGCTGAGTTTCTGTGAGGTTTATTCCTCATCTCCCCACCAATCATCATCACCTTAGTTACCTCTAGACTAGACTATTGCAATGCACTCTACGTGGGGCTTCCCTTGAAGACCTCTCCCCTTCATCACCACATATTCCTTGGTATCACCCCAGCCTGCATCAAGGGGAGCCTAGTGCCTAGATCCAGTCAAGCCATGCCCACCCTCGGTTCTCTTCTGCTTTGGTCAGACCACGTTACCTGGAATCCCTCCTGTTGTGTCCCATTCTGGGCCCCACAACTGAAGGGAGAGGTTGACTACGTTGGAATGAGTTCAGAGGAAGAGGGAGACTCATAGGATCCAGGGGGGTCTGGGGAACAATCCCTGGGAGGACAGAAGGCTTCAAGAGATGCTGGGCCTGTTGAGCCTGCAGAAGAGAGAGAAGGAGGAGAGGAGAGAGGATGATGAGGGCCATGGATCAAGAGGCGAGGGGAATATGTCCTAGGGAGGAAGGAGCAGGCTTCCTTTCTGCTGCCCTGGAGGCTAGGACGCCATGGAACAATGGCTTCAAACTACAGGAAAGGAAGGAGATTCCACCTGAACATCAGGAAGAACTTCCTCACTCTGGGAGCTGTTCAGCAGCAGAATTCTCTCTCTTTCTCTCTCTCTCTCTGCTCAGAGGGAGTATGGTTGAGCGAGGCTCCTTCTGTGGAGGCTTTGAAAGAGAGGCTGGATGGCCATCTGTCGAGGGTGCTTTGATGGCGATTGTCCTGTTTCTTGGCAGAATGGGGTTGGGCTAGATGGCCCACAGGTCTCTTCCAACTCTAGGATTCTACGAGGAGGGTGACTAAAATGATCAAGGGTCTGGAGAACAAGCCCTATGAAGAGCGGTTTAAAGAGCTGGGCATGTTTAGCCAGAAGAAGAGAAGGCTGAGAGGAGACGTGATGAGAGCCATGTATAAGTATGTGAGAGGAAGCCACAGGGAGGAGGAGGAGGGAGCAAGCTTGTTTTCTGCTTCCCCGGAGACTAGGATGTGGAACAATGGCTTCAAACTACAAGAGAGGAGATTCCATCTGAACATGAGGAAGAACTTCCTGACTGTGAGAGCCGTTCAGCAGTGGAACTCTCTGCCCCGGAGTGTGGTGGAGGCTCCTTCTTTGGAAGCTTTTAAACAGAGGCTGGATGGCCATCTGTCAGGGGTGATTTGAGTGCAATATTCCTGCTTCTTGGCAGAATGGGGTTGGACTGGATGGCCCATGAGGTCTCTTCCAACTCTTTGATTCTATGATTCTTGATAAAGGCAATGAAACCCGGTTTAGAGTTTATTAAATTATTTGTTTATTTATTTACTTACCGTATTTCTATCCCGTCACTTCTCAACCCCCAAAGGGGGACTCAGGATGGCTTACAATAGGCACCGTTGTAAGCCACCGTTGTATGTCCCTACATAGCAATTACAATAATAAAACCACAATTGAACATAGTTAAAAACAATGCATAAGCAATCATTAAAACCATAAAACAATCTCTTCAGCCATATTGCCATTCCAGTCCATGTCCTTCTAAAGTGATGCCTGCATCTATTGTCCGAAAGCCTAGTCCCAAAACCATTATTTTAATTTCTTTCGGAAAGCCAGGAGGGAAGGAGCCAATCTTATCTCAATCGCGAGTGTGTTCCATAGGTGGGGAGCCACCGCCAAGAAGGCCCTGTCTGTCGTCCCCGCCAGACGCATCTGTGCTGTTGACGGGGACGAGAGCAGGGCCTCCCCAGATGATCTTAGATTACAAGGTGGGACGTAGGGGTAAATGCGTTCAGAAAAGTAAGCTGGGCCAAAACTGTATAGAGCTTTATAGGTCAAAACCAGCACTTTGAATTGGGCTCGGAGATGGACCGGCAGCCAGTGGAGCTGGCACAACAGGGGGGTGGTATGCTCCCTGTATGTCGCCCCAGTTAGTAATCTGGCTGCCGCCCGTTGGACTAGCTGAAGTTTCCGAACCGTCTTCAAAGGCAGCCCCACGTAGAGCGCATTGCAGTAATCTATTCGGGATGTAACCAGAGCGTGGACGACCGTGGCCAGATCAGACTTCCCAAGGTACGGGCGCAGCTGGTGCACGAGTTTTAACTG